TTTTTTTTTTGAGACAAAGTTTCACTCTGCTGCCCCAGGCTGGAGTGCTGTGGCATCATACCTCATAGCAACCTCAAACTCTTGGGCTCAAGTGATCCTCCTGCCTCAGCCTCCTGAGTTGCTGGGACTACAAGCCCCTGACACAGTGCCTGGCTAGTTTTTCTATTTTTAGTAAAGATGGGGTCTCACTCTTGCTCAGGCTGATCTTCAACTCCTAAGCTCAAGCAATCCACCCCTCTGGGCCTCCCAGAGTGCTAGCACTGCTCACCCGAGAATTAGATAATTGTATTTATTCTTACAGGTCTTGCTGCTGGGGTTAGTGATGGGCACAGACAGGGTTGTGCACAAGATTGGGAAGGGCTCCCGGGCACTCTGCCTATGCACGTGGGACCAGGGCTTGTGAGGCCTCTCCAGGGTCTGTAACCCCTTGTCAGAGGGCCCTCCTGGACAGGAAGGACACAGCCACAGGGGAGGGACACGTGTGGCCCCATCTTCGGGCTCCTCTTCCAGGGCAAGCTCATGAGGAGGCAGAAGTGGGGCTATTTCCGCAGCAAGTGGAACCTTCTGGAGCTCACCATCATCCTGGCCAGCTGGAGTGCCCTGGCAATGTTTGTGAAGAGGGCCATCCTGGCCGAGCGTGACATCCAGCACTGCCGGACACACAGGAAGGAGTAAGTGGCTCTCTCCTGAGCCCGCAGTTCCTCCTCTGGGAACTCTTCTCCATCTCCAGGGCCCAGGGACCCTCAGTGGATCAAGGAGCAGAAATAATGGTAGCTGCCACCCAGATTCAGGTTTGGAGCCTAAGGTGTGTACAACTGGAGAGGATTCTTTGAGACAAAATACAACATTTGCAAATCTTACCAAAGTGTAGGACCTCGTGGCATCCCCAGAGGGGAAGGAACTATGCATAGTAGTGACTCCAGTCTGCTCAGAGGGAGGAAGATTCTGGAAGGCAGATTAGGGTAGAAGGCTGGTTCTCCCTGGAGTCTGGCCAGGACCCAAGGTGGTGAAGCCAGTCCTTGCTTCTGCTTCCTCCCCACGGCCCTGGAGAGCTGTCCTCAGTGGGTTTCTAAGCCGAGAGGATTTACAGGGAAAGCTCTGAGGCCATAGGGCTTCAGGGAAAGTCATCTCTCCTACAGCCCACTCAGTAAGGCATAACTCACAAGTTTTTCAATTAACAAGAAACATAATCTCTCTCAGTAAAAATTTGAAAAACAGATTAGAAAAGTCTCTAATCCAGCATCCCAGAGAAACCACATGGGCACTGTGCCCAAACCTGTGTCCATCTTAATGTCTCACCAATGTCAAGACTGAATGTAGAGTACAGGGGGCATGAGACAGGACGGAGCGCCAGGCTGGGAAAGTGGGCAGACCCTGGACCTGGTGGGCAGGCACCAGCATTTCTAATTTTCCCCTGGATGCCAACTCTCATTCTTCTACTCACAGTTTGTGCCATTATTTATGTCACTAGCTGCGAGACCTTGTGCCAACTCTGTGTCTGTATCTGTGAAATGGAGATAGCAAGACTCACCCCATCCCATGGTGTTGAAGTTTAAAGCAATGGGAGTCAAAGAAAAAGCTATGAGAGTCTCATTAAGCACATCCCTGGATGGTATTTCCATCCTTCCTTCATATTAAGGGCAGCCATGGATTTACACACTGGCAAGTGTACTGGAGGAGGTGGCATCTGTTGACCCCAAGGCAGGGAGAGGGAGGCTCTCTGGGCCCTGGGA